CTTCAGAAATACACAAGAGGATGTCCTTCACAGCATTGTTCGTAAAGCCAAAAATATCTATCAACAGAAGAAGAAAGTTCAAGTAAATCACATATATCCGTTCTATTGTGAAAAGAGATCGAGATCATATTGTTGAATGAACACAACTATTTGTTCAACCATATAAATAAGTTTTGATCCTGCTTATATGAAAAATGTGAATGTTAACCTAATGAAAAAGAGCATCAAGATGCTGAGAGGGGATGTTTCTTCAAATGGTCCATCTTAAACTTCAGAATTATAAATACAAAGGTGACTTTTAATTTGAATCTGTATATATTATATTTACATGGACAAGTAAGACATTTTTTAAAAGAACAAAAGTAACCCAAGTTTTTAAATTGTGTAATCACAATTTATTAATTGCTTCCTTTAGTATCTCAGAGAAGACTTTCCAGGCATGGACTTGGCACCACATTATGGTGTTAATGAGATTAGGTGTAAGCACTGCTGTATCTATTTCAGGAATCCCACTAATAGAGTTTCAGTTTCAGTTTGTTGCTTCTACAAGAAACTCAACTGAACTCTAAACTACCAGACACTACGTGACTTGGATACTGCCCTCCCTCTTCAGATTCAAGTGAATCAAATGACTCCCTGCCCTTATGGCCATCACTTAGTCCCTCAGTCTTTGAGTCACTCAGAAGCACATTCCTCTGTGGCCCAAACTTGCTTTGAATCGCAGGACCAATGGAAGTGAGAGCCTTCTACTTTCTCTACGTGCAAAGTGCGGAGTAAAGAACCAGATGCTGTATGTACCCAGTGCTATCTGCCAAGCACTTGCTCTTCATTTCTGAGTTTGCTAACCTTCCTTTGTCCACTGTGCAAATCTTCTTAGGAAGGAATCTGTTTTGCTTATTGCTTCTCCCTAAATTACTGGCCCTGGGCTCCCACATTTGGGTGGTTTCAATCTTTTACCCTGTTTCCCCCAAAATAAGACAGTGTCTTCTATTAATTTTTTCTCCCAAAGTTATGCTAGGTCTTATTTTCAGGGGATGTCTTATCTTTCCATGTGCTAGGTCTTATTTTCGGAGGATGTCTTATTTTCGGGGAAACATGGTAGATCAGTTTTCCTGGTACACAATGACAGTCTGAATGCCATCTATTTAAATATTTCAAAGAGCTCCCCAAATATAATGTAAAGTGTTCTCTCTTTCTACCTCCATTTCCATATGCCATGTCTCCCTCTTATGGCTCTCCATCTACCTCTTCACCACCACCATCTCACCGTTAGTCCCTTTCCTTCTCTTAATCCTCTTGAACTCATTTTCACTTTATTCATCTCTTATGGAACAGTTTCTTTATCATGTAGGAAACACAACCTACTATATGGACATGATGCAGCTTGTTAATCAAATTTTTATGTATATATCGTTCCATTACCTAGACATCTGTCCAATATAGTAGCCACTACCACATTTGGCTATTTAAATTAAATTTAAATTAATTTAAATAACATTAAGTTTAATATTCAATTACTCATTCTCACTAACCACATTTCAAGTGCTTAATAGCCAAATGTAGCCTATGTCTATGGTACTGGACAGCACAGATATGCAATGTTTTCATCATTGCAAAATGTTGCATCCATCGGACAGTTCTGATTTAGATATTTCAACTCTAATAGTACCCAAACGCTTGGGAAGATTCAAAACTAAAACAGCAAAAAGAAACTGGGTCTCAGGAAAGCAGAAAACTTATTAATAATGAATGAAAGCAACAACAAATTCACTGTGTCTGGAAATAAGTAAATAAATTTCCCATGTCAATAAATTTTCTACAAATACTGACATTTCTATTTAATAATCCAATAAGACTCTCTTCCTAAACATAACATACACTGGTTGGATTATAACAATTTTTTATTGTGGAATAATCTGTAGATTTTTAGAATTACTATTGAAAAAGAACATTTATGAAGCTGCCAACCTGCTCTTCTCACTTAGGTATAAACAAGTCTGAAAGCTTGGATGGATAGGAATGTAGGAATGTTTTCAATTACTTTAAAGCCCTCTGAATGGTGAGCCAGTCTTGCATCCTCCAACAGTGACAGGAGGCCATCTCCCCATTTGCCAAGCATCTACTCATCCATCAGCCTGCTTGGCTCTCACTTCCCTCCATGAAATCTGCCTGCATCCATCCACTCCCTACACACCACACCCCAGCGTTAATCTCTCCCAGCTTTGTCCAACCACCATCTCCTGGGCATACTCCCTACTGTGCACAATTCACTGCATTCTGGTTACCTACTTACACGTCTGTCTTTCCTGCCTATGGGCTAGACACTCCTTGTGGGCAGGAAAGTTACTGACTCTTACTTTTATTCTCAGTCTCTAGCATGATGTCTGGCACATAGAAAGCGCTCAATATACATTTATTAAACTGAGCTGAGCAAATTGGGCTTAGAGCAGTAAACCTGCTTTTCATTCAACTCTGACTTGAAGTCTTGCTGTCAGGAGTATTTGAAGTATAATCAATATAATCTACTTTGTCACTGTCTACACTTAATTAGCAGACATTTGAATGAATCTGAAATGTTAGCTATGATCTATTTGGCTATTGTTAGCCTCCCTGTATTTGTTTTCTTAACTATAGTAGTTTCCTCATTTCTTAGGGGAAAAAATGAGATTTTCTCTGGGCCCAATCAAACTAAATAATAAGATTTCCAAGTAAAATCAAGAATGTTGTTCAATCTGAATTCTTTCGTATTTTTATTTTTATTTTTTAATAAATCTTTATAGTTTATATTATTACAAAAGTTCCTCATTTTTTTCCCCTCCACCAGGTTCCCACCCAACTTCTGCCTTTTCCCTATCCCCCATTGTCCTCATCCATAGGTGCACAGTTTATGTTCAGTCTCTTTCATATTTTTAGAATATACAAATAAATAATTGAATAATGGCACTTATATTTGATGAAGCAAAAAGCAACCATATTATCAATATTTAAAATGTATATAAAAATTCACTCTCCAGAGTATCTCCAGGAAAATGTCCATTGGTTTTTGTTCCTAAGAAATTTGAGTTTATAAAATGGGAAAAACCTATATTTCAGAACAGAATTCCAAATATGTGATATATTATTGAAAGATCAATTAATTCAAATATATGTGGCTTTTTAAAGCAGAATTCTAATATTCCTGATTAAAAATCTGGCATTAGCAATCAAAATTTGAGGAATAATACACTAAATGTAAGCTGTAGAATTTAGGAAAATAATTTCCTGACCAGAAAACACAGGGCTCTTTTTAGTTAATATCAAGAAAGGCAACTGGAATTCTTTTTCCCCTTCAAGTTGGATTGGGAGCCTAATGGTTCCTTTGCTTTTTACCTCTCCTTCGAATATTAATGGGACACCACATTAATGCGGAAACACAGAAGAAACACTATCTCTGAATATGTTGAGGGAGTTGTAGAATAATTTTGTAATTCTCTTTATTTAGAGCACTACCCTAGAGATTACATTTGTATAGAGATTTAGCATTTCCAAAGGCATGCATAGGCATTATCACACTTAATGCAAACTGTTCATATACATGATTAACTCAATTATTCAGGCAACATCTGTTCAGCTTACATATTATTCATGACATTTCTCTGCCTTCTTTTTTTCCTTTCTGGACTGAAATTTGATCATTTTCTTTCTTATTAGCTTTGTACTAGTGACAAAGGAGAAAAATAAGATAAGGAGAGGGAATTCAGGCTGATCATATTTTAAAATTTATAGAGTTCTTTTAGAAAGAAATGATTTAGAATATAAAACTGTGGCTGAATTAAGGCTCTGGTGAGTAGAGGCCATCATTTAAGTTATTTAAATTATTTCAATGTTTGTTATTTACTCAAATGCCCTTAATTTACAACTTGCAATTAATAACATTACTTATTAGTCATTACTTCCCTTATTTAGGCCTGTGAGCTAGGGATGATTGCTCCCATTTTTGTAGGTGAGAAAACAGAGATATGGACAAAGTTGATGTGTCCAAGCAGAGGCCAGGATTAGAGGCCTCATGATCTGATCCAAGCTGAGCATCCATTCCCTGAAAGCAGTGCGTCTGAGAAGGCCTGGGAGGCTCCTATAACACAAATAGGCCTAAAGTTTCAGACTGGGAAGGTCTAGGGTGGGACCTGAAAGGGTGCAGATGCTGTTACTACTGGTAGTCCTCCGACCACACTTTGAGAACCAGTTTTAAAAACCATAGCTGCCCACCTCAGCTCTTTCCACATCCCCCTAATGTAAACCACATCCGAGCAGGGAAAGTCTCCTTGGTAGAGTATTGCCCTCCCATTCCTGCCCCCCGTTGTCGACTGGTCGCCATCAAGGCGCCTGGGGCACCTCACATGCCACATAAACACTGTGTGTATGAGTCTTCTCTCATTTCTCAGGGAAACAACAGATCAGAAGTGTGGGATCTGTTTAAGCTAAAACGTTTGATCCTTTTTCTCTTTTAGGCTACTAAATTTAATAAGTGAAACGAAGAGGCAAAGGACAGCAAAGAAAACTGCCCCTGAGTCCCTGCCCCCGGGGGAATCTGAGTCATCATGCCATGAAGTGAGACCTCCAGGAGTGGGTCCTCTCCCCAAATGCACATCATCACCGCTGGCACCGCTGGTGCTATTCCAGCTTTGTGAAGGGCGACTGATTTGCTCTTAATCCTTAGAAACAAATGACTATCCTTCCATAACCCACCCTAAAAAATTTGACTCCTCCTTCCTTTACGTTGCAAAATTTGTCACTTAAAATGGGCACTTTCCTGTTCACTTTTTTAAACTACTTGGGAATGTAGCTGCTATGCTTTCAGAGAAAGGTGGCCAGGTGGTAAGGCCCCAGGTAGTCATCAGTTCCTTGGAGAACCAAGATCGTGCAAACCACAACATTCTACATCACATCCAACGGGCGCAAATGTAATAGCTGCAAGAAATGGGTTACTGACAGTTTGTTAACGTGTAACGTCATGGTCTTACCTATGCACACTAGATCCATAAAACCATACATTCCATAGCAGATTTGAAAAAGGATGTCCTTCCTCTGCCACACTGCATAGGGGCTGAAGGCGGACCAGAGGAGCCAGGTCACACTCGCTATTAAGAACAGGGATCCTAGGATTACAGCAATCATCTGAACTTTCTCAACCAGTGTTATAGAAATGCTTTGCCACTAAAAGAAAAACAGAGGCATGTAAGAAAAAAGGTGCTGTGTATAATTTGAAAAGCAAAAAAACAAGAAAACAAAAACCATTGTCAGCCCCATGTTTCTCTTTATAATGTTAGACCCTTTTCAATCTGATTGGCCCCCAAAGGAATTTCCCCATTTCATCCAGGCTGTACAAAATAGAGGAGATAAATATTAATGAGCTGCCTTAACTTCATTATTTTCAGTAATTCGCCATTCTGTAAGTTTAATCTAGTTTTAGTCCAGATAACAGCACCGACAGCGAATGGCTGAGGAATATTTAGTACCTGGGAATTACATTACCATCTTTCATGCATGCAGAGAATTAAAAACCCTGAAGGAACACAGGGAGGACACCTCAGTGTGGAAGTCTGTTTTCACTTATCTTATTTGGCTACTGCAACAAAAGGAATTTCTTATTTTGTGAGGAAATGTGAAAAACAAATAACTAGGTGAAATTAGCAAAAGCTGAAAAGGCTGTTTAAGGTAAAATACTAGAATAATTATAAGGGAACTATAAAATGTTATATTATCTGTTATTTATAAATTTCATATACTCCAATATTGGATTTTTAATTATAGGTTAATCCATGAGGCCATTTTTGTCAAGATTTAGAATTTGTACACAAATGGAGAATCTTTGAAACTCACAGACTGTATAATGTTACACTACTCAATGGGGAAGGTATAATTTGAGAGAATTTACAGTACAAATGATGAAAAATTTTTCAAGGGTTATTGACTAGAGATAATTAAATAGTCATGTTCTCACTTTTGTATCATTGAGACAGAAACGACACTAAAGTTGCTGTCATGTTTTGCCAGTAAACAGTGAAACACAACCTGTAGAATCGAAAGAGCTCTGGCCGTCTCAACGTACGGCGTGTCAGAATTCCTGAACAGTTTAAATACCTTTAAAGCCAAAGGAGCTTAAGCAACTGGGTGAATCTGGTATTTCCTTAAACTCTTTACTTACCTGAAGTCTGAATATGTGCACCCCCTACTCTATCACTACCCACAACTTCCCTCTCTCCTCCCACTGTGTCATCGTCTCTTCCATCATAAAAATTAACATATAATATTTACGCATTTGACCATGCATATTCATGATACACTTAAATTCTACATTTATGAAAGATTACATATCAAAATGCATGAGAAATATTTCATTTTCTAAAGTCAATTATTTTTTTTCCTTTATAAAACAGAACCAATAGACAAAGTTTGGTGGAAATTCTATAAAAAAGATATTTCTAACCATCTCAAGGCAAAGATGCATTTATTGAAAAATGGTTCTTGCTTTTCACAATTCTGAAGGAATAATAATTAACCTGGATCAACATTATTTGATCATTACCAATCAACCAAAGTTGTATTTCAAGCATGTATCATATTTGAAGTCAGCTTTTCACTCCTTGCCTGGCATAATTTTAAGCACATTAATTTCAAAATGCTGGGCATTTGAGTTTTAAACCATTTTAAATTTGGTTTCACCAAACAAGTGTGAAGTGTCTGTATCAGCTGCTTTTGTTTAGTTTTGATGCATTGAGTACACATCCACATGGTAAGCAATATAGAAAACTACTTCCAACTTGCACCCACCCTGGATGGGCACTACCCTGTCTGTATGTATTATGTCATCCTCTATCAATTTATTAAGCACGTCAGATAGATGAAAATAGAGCATACGTTTGAATCCATGAGGCAAAGGTGTTTGCCAGTAATCCTTTATATCCAAGCTTCATTACAAAATTTTAGTGGAGTTAAATTTGGACAGCTCAATAATGCATGGTTAATTTTATTTAGCTTCAATTAGGCTTACTAATTAATTGACCCAAGACTGCCTGCATGCCAATTCAGTAACAAGTGGTGGTGGGAGGCTCTACTAGACACTTGGTGGGGATGATTTGATGGATGCAGCTAAGCTGTCTCCTGGGACACAGGAAATTGTGGTGGCTCAGTCTCAGAGTCAGCAAGACTCTGGGAGGTTAGGGGGGGCGGGGAACCTCAGATGGCAGGCTTCTGACACGTGAGGCTTAGCTGTTCCTTAACAGAAAAGGTGAATGATTAAAGGGACAGACTTACTAGGAAAAAGATGTTGATGGTGATACCAAATTTAAAATGGCTTAAAATTCAACTACCTGGCAGTTTGGAATCAAACTTATGTCAGGAAGCAAAGAAAAAAAGAACTCAATGACAGTACACTGGGAAAGCTTAATTGTTTACTATTATCGTAAACATAATTTCTTCTTGTGGCTCTAAGAATTTGAGATTTTTGAAACTTAGTTTAAAAAAAAAGAATAAACTGCTCATATCTATAATGAGCTCACTGAAATTTTCGTTTTATATCTTTTTGCTAACAATCCAAATCTGTGTGGAAGTGCATTAATGTTTTTCATAAACCGATAAAATTAACACCATTTCACTGAATAGCCAATAAGAACAAACCATTATTGAAACCAAAATTATTAAACCAATTGTGAAAATAGGCATTTCCCTTTGAACACTGAAAATATCTTGGCAATTTTTTTGCCTACCAAATAGTGATCTTTCTTATTTTTGCCCTTCTGTGCAATAAGTGGAATGTGTTCACATTCTTTCCACAGGAAAAATAACACTGCTTCCCACCTCTAGGATACACCCACCTACATCCTGGCCCTGTATATTATCTACAGGCTCAGCCCAAGGAACTGTGCTAATGGACCGTTAGCTTGGACAAGAAAAGCAGAAGGTGAGTCTCTTGAGCCCCTCTCTTTACCCTGACAGTATCCAAAACCAGGATTTCAGTTTGTAAAACATTTCTGAATCTTAAACTAAATTTGCCAACTGCTGAGCACCCGTTCCTCCTCTACAACTTGAGATATGTGTATGCACAGATACTTTTTCCACTTAAATGTCTTCCTAAGATTGAAAAGGGAAACAAAAGAACAATAACCAAGTTGGCTCTAAATAATTACTGTTATTTTACTTCCATAACGTTTAGATATGTGTTGACACTTTTATATTCCTGAAGAGCTGTTCAATTTTACAAAACTATGGGACCTGTTGTTTCTAGCAAAGTGGGGCCATTGGCTCCTCTTTTGGAAGTTCAGCCTCACGTAGTGGACTGGGAGTCATTTAATATTTAAGTAGAGCTGATATATGCTAGGCACTTTTCTAAGAGGTTGCATGTCTGAGCTAACTTAACCCCCATGACAACTCTGTTAGGGAGGTACCATAATAATCCCCATTTTGAAAATAAAAAAAACTGAGGCAGAGAGGTTACACAATTTGTCCAAGGTTAATCTTTAACCTAGTGAGAACTGGGAACTGAGATACAAATCCCAGTAGTCTGGCTCCTAGGGTCATGCTCTTAACCCTTATATTACATTGTGTAATAACTCCACTGAGCTCTGATAATAATTAATTGTGCATGCTCTGTCTTTACAAGTGCCAAGGCAATTTTCCTGATTAAAAACATGGAGTCTGTCCTCTCTGTGAATCTACTGAAATAGCTTTCCAGCTGTTCTTCTAACTGTGAATCATTCCCGGGTCCTCTGTGTAACTCCCAAGTCCATGTTGCTAATGAAAGAACTGCCCCTGCTGGGTGGACTCTCAGCTCCATCAAGGAGGGCTCAGTGGTTATGATTCAGCACACATTCTCAGTGCTGGCACATAACTGTAGCAGGAAGGATAAAAGAATTATGGAGAACTATTACGAGGGAGAGAGGAAAGGAGCAGGGAAGGAAGTTGGAAGGAAGAAGCAAAAAGGGTGGAAGGAGAGAGGAAGAGAGGCACACTCTGATTTCTTTGGATTCTCCCAAGTGCTATGTGCTTTTTACTTTGGCCCCTCTCTACCTCTGAGCATGCTCTGTCTTCAGCATGCAATGCCCTCCTCCCTTTTTGCACCAGATGAGATCTTGCTTCCATCCGCAACAGGCTCTAATGCATCTAAAGCTACCTGCCTCGGGCTCTCCTCTTTCAAGCAGAATCCCTGTCTCTCAACCCTGCAATCCAATGTTTATACTTCAGTTTACTTCTGATCTCTTTCTCCCTTGGGTCTCAGAGAGGTGTTTAGCTTCTGTTGTTCATGGACTGCAGGTTTCATAACAGGAGAAGAGCAGTCTCATCTCCCTTTATGTTCACCAAAAACTGAACACACTGTGGGGCTCAGGCTGGGCTGCCCCAAATGGCATATTGATTACTTTGAATTGAAGTTACTTGATAAGCAACCAGTGCAAGAAGGGCATGCAGATCCTCCCTGCCTTGAATGCAGGATATTAATCTCCCCTGTGAAAGGGGTCCTCCATGCTCAAGTGAAAAGGGGGTGGGAGGGGAGAGAGTCCTGAGACACTTTACCACTGAGTTAAGGAATCAGTTAAGGCTGATAAACATTGTTATTCCTTTCTACTCAAGCTCAAACTGTGTTTAGATTCCTCCCCAATGAGCATACAACCTGTGTCTCTGTTCTGTCACTTCTTCACAAAGTTATTGTTTCTTGGCCTAAAAAGTATTAAAAAAAAAAAAAAAAAAAAAAGCTGCTGGCTGATCAATCTGAGTATCGTTTTTGATCTCCTGTGAGCACATATTACATTGTTTTTTTTCTCTATTAACCTGGCCTTTTTCAATTTTATTATTAGTCTGGTCATAAGAACTCAAGAAGGGGAAAGGGGAGAACACGAAGTAAATGCTTTAAATACACCGTCTCCTGACTAGTTTCTACCGTCTTGTCTCTCTGACTGCCAGACTGACATCCTCTCCACATCCATTCTATCACTACCCACAGGATCCAGGTACAGCTCTGGCCAAACCACCAGTAAGTAGAGAAGTGAGAATTTAAACCCAGACCCGTCTCCAAAGCCCAGGTTCTTTCTAAAATGTCTTTCTCTCTGTCTAGACATAATTATACCTATCTAAAAGGTAGTTGTAGAAACAGAAAAAAACTTAAATATAAAAAAACAGCTACTCAGAGTGCCAACTAAGTCTGACCTATAGCTTTCTAAATG